AAGAGTTCCACCTATTGTAAATATAAATTATTAATATTATAAAAACATTAAATAATTATTAAATAATTAAAAACTTACCATTGTGTTTATATATAATATATGAATTTACAATTACAGTATCAATTAATCAAAACATAAGTAACATCCAAGTACGTGATGTATTAAATTAACAATTGTAATATGATCGATATTGATCTGCTATATCTATACCACCCATAAAATGATTATAATCATAAATAACTTTTGAAATAGGAATTTTCTTTTTTACTGCTTCACCAAAAACTTTGCGTACATTAATAGCATTAGAACTTATTTCTTGTGAACGTCGTCGCATTGTAAAAATTCTCCATTTACTGTATCTCCTTTAATACCATAAATAGTTGAAAGCATATGAACAGATCCATTATCCATCCAAAAAATTACTAAAACATCATTTATAACTACTCCAGATAAAATATTCCAATTTAATTAATAGATTTTTCAATTTTCAATATAGAAGGAAACAGTGCTGAATTTGTTCGTACTGTACCACAAGCTCCATATCCTTTTGTTCTCAAATAATTAAAAAGAGGAATACTTGTAAAGTAATTATCCATGTATACATTATATGCTCAATTGTAAGGAAGTTGAGTAACAAGATAGGATACAAGTGATCCTGTTTTATTAAGACCAAAAATATTTGGAATTTTATTATTGATCTTAATACGTGATTCAAATGTAAATGCATAAGTATAACCTTTTTCACATAAAGACATAATTTTATAGCCTTCAGGGGTAGGTTTGTTTTTAATTCGAAAAGTATGTCCACTATATCCAGAAAATCGAATCATTATTTCATCAATCAATACTTGTGAACCAGGTATATAGATTTGTTGACTAATCTTTTTGATATGTGATGCAAGCGGTTCAACTTTGCCATATCAATAAAGTAGCTCAGAATTGGAATCAGAAATATGTAAATATCATTTTATTTGTTGAAAGCGTATTACTGACATTTCTTGCGTAATGTTGTGTTTAGAAAACTTGAAATCGGTAGACCAGTAATCAACTACTCTTGGCAATTTTATTACACCCATATATATAACAATTCCTAGCCAAGTCTTCAATTCATTTAATGTTAAATTTGTCCAAGCTCGTCTGGTTGTAACAGCATTTTTTAGTTGTGCATATTTATTTGTATTCGTTATAATTGTATTGAGAATAGTTTGTGAAAAAAAAAGTCTAATCAATCCATATGGAGTGATATTACGATCAGGAAAGGCTAACGGCAATTTGACATAGTTTCAGTAATATGGTAAGTTATGTTCTAATGGAACAAAATGAGGTATAGGTAATTGTGCTGAGATTTCGATTTTGTTCAAAGCTGTGTTATTTCTTCCACCTCTACTTCGATGTCCCCTTGCTCCATTTTCTCCTGCTCTATCTTTTCTTGCTCTATTTCCCCTTGCCCTACCATCTCTCACTCTATCTCTCCTTCCTCTACTTTTTTTTTCATTTACTTGCAGTTGTTCTAACTTGTCGACAATATTATTCAAGCCTTCGGTATACTCTTCATTATCAACTATATTACCATCACTATCTTCTAAAAGCCCATCCTCCTCAAGACCTGTGACTATTTGTCGTTGAGAAAATGTGACAAAATAAGGATCCGACAACTCAGCAAGTAAGTTTTCATCATTTTCTTGCATAGCCGAGTATAAATACATATTGTTTTTAACTAAGCGAATTTTTGATCAAAATGATCGTCAATCTTTTATCAATGCATGATTACATATTATATATGCCCGATGATTATATGTTATACAAGCTTGATGATTGATGCTTGCTAAAGTCTAGCAAAACCGAATTGGTACCATTTTGGAGGATCCCTTCTATCTCACTTTCCGGTTATTGCCAAAAATTTGAATTTTGCAGGCAAATTTGCCTGCTTAACGCATTAAGGGATATAAATTAATATTAACCTATTTATGGTACAAACTATTACTATTCTTATTACACTTAATATAACTCAGATTAGTGCTAGTACTGGATAATCAATACCCTTTCAGAGCTAATATGAAATTATAAGACTTGAATAAACTGTTTAAATTTATATATTATAAATCTATTAAAGCAATAATGTTTTGAAACAAATCTGAATCAGATGTGAGAAGTGATAATAACTTTCCTTTCTTGTTAGGAATTTAGTAAAGAATCTTGTTTATTTAATACTTGAAGTGAAGGAGGTATTAACTATTGCTAATCTCAAAACCCAGATTAGTACATATAGGAGTTTTAGAGTTTTATTTATTAGTTTTATATACTTGTTATTTGATAATTGGATCTTTGGATCTTTTATACCACATACCAATTTATTGAGATATGACTTTTTGTTGAGGCTAAAACTTAATATAATATTTGTTATCTTTGATATGATGGCTACATTAATTTTGTTCAAAATTTTTTGATTTTTGCTTTCAATTTGATTTTTATTTCTATATATGCCTCTTTATTCTTAACACATTCAAAAATATGATCCTGGAATTCTAACACAATTAAACACCCGAAGCAAAAGTTATTTTTATAAATATCTAGGTATTTCTTATATAAAAATTGTCTTTTAGAAAGAGTTCCACTTAAAATTTTATTTCTAAAGGCCAAAAGAGATAAGCGACTGAACTTGTCTTTCTTGATTAACAAGCTATTTGCTTTTATGAAGTATTGTAGTATTATAATATTTAGGGTATGACCTCATTTATTCTTAATTGACCGATTGTTAATGATATTAGTAAGTTTGAAAATTTTTTGGATTCTCTTGATCCAAATTATCAAGCCATATCTCCAGTTGTTCTTAATTTTTGAGTTTGCTATATATTTGTCAGTTTCTATTATATTGTCAATACTTATAATTGTATTATTTTCTTGCAGCTTGAGATTATTGTTATACTTGCAAAGTTGTAAATTGATACTTTTTGTACTACACAATATATTGATACAGTTTGCTAGATATCCATAAGAAATCTTGACTTTCCAGTTGAAATACTTTGGTATATTTAAATTTATCTTTGTTGGCAGGTTAACTGTAATGTATGTATAGTCTTTAGCAGTTGCTAATATCCTGTGAGGGCTAATAAAAGGTTAATGGATTGATTGTTTTCAGATTGGATTGTTATTGTGATATAATTGGCTTTTACTAATATATGCTTTTTTTTTTTTTAAGCTTAAGATTAAAAAAAGTCAGTTATCATTAAGTATTTGTTTAAAATTATCTATTATATTATTATTAAGTTGTGGCAGGTTGCTAGCTGCACTTGGTTCTCTGATTTCGATGATAAGTATAGAATTTATTAGAGTTTTAAATTGAAGTTGAATTTAAATATTTTAAGAGTATTTGTCAAATAATCTTAATTATTTTTATAGTAGATCCATAGTAACATTGCTTCACTTACTGATATAGAAATTTTCTCTGCATTCTCATAATATTGGCATTTTGTAAAGGTTTTGTTTGTGTTAAGTTGAAATGGATTTCTTTGATTAATAGCTGGTTAGGATCACAATTATATCTTGATTTGACATATGTTACTTGATTATTGTGGATAAAGATCCAAAACTTGATTTTATTATTTGGTATGCATAGAGAAGACCTTTGCAAATAAGATGGAATACTGATTTTGAAAAATCAACTTGAAGTGAATCCTCTTCATGTAGGCCCCAAGTGTATGTTAAACTTATGCCAAGTAAGTTTTTGATTTAATTGATATACTAACAGGTCATTTAGAAATTTAATGTTTTTGTTATATAAGCTGAGTGCTTGTCATATTAGGTATCTGTTTTTAAAAGGAAAAAAAAGTCCTATTGAGTTGTTTCCATTGGAATCTGAGAACTCGCAGTTTGATGGACAAATAGAAACTCTATATTTTTTATATATCATTACAGCTTGGATAATCCAGTTTTCTTAGAACTTTTCAAATAAGCATAATGGACAAAGCCAGATTGCACAGCTTGCTTGTATTGACTTAATTTCCATACTTAAAGCATTTTTAATTTTTGAATTGCACAGTTTGATAATTAGAAGTTTTGTTAAGATGAGTTCCTGTCTATCAAATAAATTGAGAAGTTGAGACCAGCATGCGAGTATATAATTTTATCTGAAACAGTTTTCCAATTTTGAATTTCTATTTTATTACATTGTTAACTTTTGCTTGGAAAGTTGAAAGTTGTTGTTTTGAAAGAAATATTGAGTGAAACATATAGTCTAATTTGCTTAGGATAATCCAATTTACTACTTGCTTAATTATTGGTCCATTTCACTTTTGTTTGCCACAAGCTATTATAATTTGACTTAGGTCTTTGATTAGCATATGTTTGGATAGACTGTTATTTATATTTCCTGAAAAATAGTTTTTCAGGTAATGGAGAGATGTTTTTTGTAGCAGTGGGCTGATCATTGAATTTGAGACCATTAGGTAAGTGCTTCTGCCAGAATTATTGTTTTCTAGAGTTGTAATTAATATGGTTTTATCTAAGTTGCATCTGATGTCATTTAAGATGAGAAAGGAACAAAAAACATTAATAATTTTTTGAAGTTTGGATATAGATTGTACCATTAGTAACATATTATCCATATAAGTTAGATATTGTAAGGAATCAGCAATTGGTTTTTAATGTTTGAATATCATTGATATTATAAGATCATAGAAGATTGTCTATAAGAGTAAGGAGTGGATTTCTTTTTGATCTAATCTTTTTGATACAGTAAATTTACTTATCTTTAAAGATAGATCCCTAAATTATTTAATATATAAAATTTTGCAAATCAATTATATCCCTTTTAAAGAGACATAATTAATTAATTATTATTTTAATAGAGATATAATTTAAAAAACATTTGAATCAAAGTGACTTAAATTGCAAAAAACCTTTGTGGGTAGTTTTTTTTTGATCTTATATTTAAAAAAAAACTTTTTTAATAATAAGGAACATTTGAATTATATCTTTACCTTTAATTTAAGAACCCATCTTTATTTTTCCTACCAAAGTTTGTTGTAATATTTGTTTATAATTATACAGTAAACTATATATTATATTGATTAGTTTATTTGGAATTTGATTCTTTGGAGGGTTGCTTTAAGGCTATATAGATTTATTGAATCAAATGTCTTTGCAATATTGAATGAGCAATCCAAAGTTCGCTGTTAAGATTGATTGCTATATTTAAGATTGATGCAGTTATTGACAGTGGTTTTATTATGCTTTGTTCTGTTAGACCTGCAAAACTGGCCTTAAATAATATATTATATTTCAAGAGAATTGTTGATAGCCTCGTATTTATGATTTTTATGAATATTTTTCTTGTTGTTTCAATCAATGAAATTGGATAGGTGTTTACAATCTTGTGAAACTATATTATCTTTTTTGAAAGAAGGACAATTGTTAAATTTTTCCACTTTGCTAATATTTGTTCAGTATTTAAGATAGTGTTATATAATTGTAAAAGTGTTTTCTTGGAACCATCACCCAAGTAATTAATTATTTTATAGGTATTTCTAATGTGCCTAGTGTTTTGTTTGCTAAAGTATTATTGAGCATGGTTAATAGTTCATTTATTTTGATTTGGTTTTAAGTTGTTTTATAAATTTTCTCTGATATTAATTGAATTGGAAAATATACTTTAGCCTATTTCATGTTTGTCAGGTTGAATTTATTATTTGTAAGGATTTTTTTAAAGTGGTTGTTTATTATTCTTTTGATTTTATCAGGATTGTCAATTAGATTTCCATTGTTGTTTTGAATGATGTTAAGGTTTAGAGAAGATTTCAAATCACCAAGAACTTATTTGATAAAACTTTTTGATCTTTCATAAAACTTGGCAAGGTTGTTTATAATGGCTTTATGGATATGTTCCATCTGTTATTTTTTGATACCATGGAGTTTTTCTTAATTGATATCTTTCTTATATAATTAAGTGACTTGATGATAACTGGATTGTCTTTAAATATTTTTTGATAAATGAATGCGATGTTTTTTGAAAGTTTGATTATTGTGTCCTGGCTAATTGAGCTGTTTTTTTTTTTGTAATAATTCTTTTAATTTGTTTGATCAATTTTTGTAGTTTTGATTTGATTAGAAGAAGATTGCTTTTTGTAATATTGACTACAATATTATTGAAAGTGGCTCAGGAGTAGTGTTCAGTCATGAAAACTTTGAGATTAACTTCCTCTTTGAAGTTAGTTTTTTGCTGTTCCATTGCTTGCTTCCAATCAAAGAATTTGATTTTGCAACCTAATGATATTAGTTTATACTTAAACTAATTCAAGACAATTTGAACTTGCTTGTAATTAGTATTGATTGATGGCAAGGCAAATGTTTTAATATTTAAGACTTTTGCTCCTAAATAGCTAGTACACCAGTTTTGATCAATTCTTAATACACTTGAATGTATTATATGTGTAAATTCTTTTTCTTTGTTTAACATTTTGATGATGTCTATTCAGTCATATATATAGTTGTATATTCTTCTTTTGGAACTGGTTGTAAAAGCATTAATTGCAGAGATATTGAATGAATATAAGTTAAAATCTCCAGCCATTATTTGATGTATTGGCTTTTTGAACTTTCAAATGAATTTGATTAATGAGCTTGTCACAATTTTTCTCTTATTATTGATTATGAATAAGATATATAGAAGTAACAATTAAATCAATTTTTGATTTGAACTTGAGATACATGATACACCAGTATTCATTTTTTGTATAGGTTTCAAAAATATGATTGCTTAGGTCCTTGCTCATTATTAGACAAGTTCTATTTTTTAGTAAGCTTAAGAGAATACTGGTGATTATGGTCCTGTTATTAAGTTTTTTTAAAAATGAATTGTTTTTTGATACTTTTTTTTAGAGTAATATAGAATTGCTCTTTTGTTTTTGAGATCTTGTATTAGAATTGTAATCTTGGCTCTGTTATTGAGCCCATGTATATTTAGTATTGAAATATTAAGTAAATTTTTGATCTGTGAGATAGAAGAATTAGGAAGTACTATATCATGTATGTTTTTACTTAACGAGTGAAGAAAGTTGAATAACTTGTTCAATTTAACATATGAAAAGAATAAGATTAAAGCCAGGTTCTAGCAGATCTTCGAGATGATGTATTCTTCTGGCAGTCTATTAAAATCATATTTTTTGTGTAATTATGCGATGAGCATTAACAAGTCTTCATTATCTTTTAAAGAAAATCGGGTAGTGGATAGATTTTCTTCACAAGCTTTATTGAGCTCTTCTATGAATAATAGTGGCAATTTGGAGTTTGGAACCAATCCTTAGGAATAGTATAGAACTCATATCTCTTATGCAATTTGTACACTGTTGATAAGAAGTTATCTAAGTAACGATCAATAAAATCTTTAATTTTGAAAATCTTGTTTACATCTGCAATCTTGATAGAAAGTTTTCTTTATTTGTTTATGAAATAGATGGATTAATCCACTGAAAATCCAAAGGCAAGTTAAATTTGAAATCCTTTTGCAGGTATTTGATAAAGGTCTTTGTATCTTTTTTGGTCATCACTGGAATTGTCATGTCAAGTTCATTAAGCAGCAGGTTAGATGAGTAGAAAAGTGGTCTCTTGAATTTATAATAATCAAGTAGTAAGGTTCTAAGGCTATACTCTTTTTTAGAATCTCGATAAGTTTTCTTATATCCATTACAATTGGATCATATAAAAAGTATATTGCTAAATGCTTCGATAGTAACTTATATAAAGCTGGCAATGGAGTTTTGAGTGAAGAAAGATTAAAAAAGATTTTGGAAAGCTTAGTGGAGATTTTGTAGAACTTGGTGAGCTATCTAATTCTTGCTGACAATTCTTTCAAATTTTTTCTTTCAATTATAGGAAAAGGTATCTAATCTCATTATTTAAATCTTTTGGTTTTCTGATAAAGTATAAATTTAAAGAAATAAGACTCTGGAAGCTAAGAGAATTGGTAGTAAGTTTACAAGACTGAGATTATCAAAAAGAGAAGTGATCTCTTTTTAATTGATAAGGGGCATGAAAGTTTAATAATTATATTTGATAAGATATTTCCTGGTTCACTTGATATTATTGGAAATGATTCATATAGTATTTTTTTAATTAGATCTAAGAGCTCAATATAATTTACTAATGTGTTATTGTCTTTTAAAAAGTAGTTACATCCAAACTTAAGTATTTGGGTGATTTCAAAATATTTGAACTTGTTTAAGTCTGTAAATCTTAAACATATCATGAAAAGAGATGAGTTGAGAATCATTTTTTTATTCTTCTACTAATATAGCCTACATTATTATTCTTTTTATAATTATTATAGACTTTGGCTTCTAGCACCTTATACTCTTTTTAATGGTTTTCTTTAAGCAAATCATTTTTTATGAATGATCTGAAGAAGGTTCTGTCTTTTAGGAAAATTTTTGTTAAGATTGCAAAGTGGGTTCTTGTGTGACTAATTCTTTTAAAGTAGTTTTAATTTTTATAAACAAATCCATTACATCTTGAGCTTTGGTCTTGCAGAAAAACAACTGGGAGGCTAAATTGATGATTGTGTCATGTTTATTAATAAAGGATTTATTGATATTAACTGTTTATAGAACAGAGAGATTATCTATAGAGTAATTGAAGATTGGGTCACTCTTTAAAAGAATTTTGGTAATTATATTTTTTTTGTTATTCAAGGGTATTGCTATTTGTGATGCTTGACTCGAGCTTTTTGTAAATAAGAGACTGGAGAAATTTATTAGATTCCTGATAAAACTAGGTTTGTTATCTGGCCATTCTGATAAAACTCTTATTCCATCTTTCTGATATTGAATATACTTAGATACTTGATAGAATGTATGACCTGTAATTATATTATTTTGCAATATGGCTAAATTCTCTTGAACTTGTTGATCAAATTCTATTAGGAAGCTGATGTTTCCTATTATGGATGGGTAATCCAATAATACTATTGACACATCATTATCTAAACAAAAACTAGTAGGTCTGATTGTACTTCTTAATTTGTTATGGTAATTATTTATAATGACTGCATTTTAAGAATTATTCACTTGCATCATGTTATCTGTATTGTAGGTGCTATTGATATTTGTTGTGATAATACTGTTGATGTGTAATGCATTTGTGCTGACTAAGGCTACAGGAGGTACATATATGCTGCTGCTGGTTTCATTCAAAATAGAGATGTTCATGCTTTGTTGATTATTAAGTAAAAGTAAACTGCTTAGATTTTTTTTTGGAATTTGGGATATTAAGTTTTTTTCTTTAGGGTTTGTAGAAGAGTTTTGTTCTTTGATTTCTGATTCCTTATCCTGAACTGATATATTTGGAGAAGAATGAATGGATATATTTTATATTTTCTTAAGAGTGAATTTGATTCTATTATTTATTATATTAACTTGGTTCCAAGAGAGGTAAAAGATATAGTTGAGATTGCTGTTTAATATTTTTCTTGCAATAGTTTCCCTTATACTTGAAGCAAAATTATTCCTTTTCTAATAGAGAAAAAAGCTATTAAGGTTATTTTGAGTGTTACTTTTCATATTGTTTATTGTAAGTGATACTATTGTATAAGGGTGTGAAAAGGAGTTGGAGTTGATTGCTACTTGTTTAAATTCAATAAATGCAATGTTTACTTGTAAGGAGTCATTGTTGTCACTTGAATTTTGTAAGAAAACAATCCAAAATTTGAAAAAGTTAGTTAGAAGAGAAACTGATGCATGTTTTGCTGATTTAGTAACTTGAATATTGCTTGAGTTGCTTTTCTTGTAAACTACAGAAAAGAGGCAATTATTTGAATTAGTTATAATAATATTTAGAAAGATATGGGATGGGCTTGGGGATTTGCTCTTGGAAGTTGGGCTCCTAAAAGCACTTGCTGGTTTTTTTCTCCTTAGAATTTTGCCTGTTTTTATAAAAGAAAATTTTTTTTTAAAAAAAAAGATTTATAAGAAAGAGTTTTTTTAAAAAATTTATTATAAGTAATATATTAATTTAATTATATTGTAATTAAATTTATAAAAAAGTTATAGAATAATTGAAATATTTGAAATATTTGAAATATTAATAAAAATTTAAAAGATTTTAGAAATACAATAATATATAGGATATATTATATACTGTATAAAGAAAAAGAAAATAATAATAATTGCTCCATAGGTCAAATCACAAGATACCAGTTCAATTTCATATAAAGATAATTGAACAGTATCAATATGGTATTTGACACCATAACCTATTATGTGCTGTTTCTTATAAGAAGCTGTTTCACATGTTGATTCAGCAGGCATTGAGATTATGACCTCCTGAAAAGATAATATGGTGGGCTGATTGTCCAGTTGGTGTTATAATTATCATCTGAAATAAATATGAAAAGGTGATACGGCATATGGCTTGAGCAAGATGGCTTAGTGATTACTTTCCCATGGTATCTGGTGTCTCTTCCTATTAAGATGGTTGCCTCTATAGAGTTCTATTCACCACAATAGATATCACCCCCAGTTTCCCATTTTCTCTTTCTTATAAATACTCTTGGTTAGAAATAGAATACAACATACTAATGCAGAAATAAGGAATCTTGGAAGGAATCGTTGATGGAACAAGGACTACAGGTGATGTACGATGGGTCCCTATATATAAGAGTTGCATCCTGCTTGACATTTATGCTCCTAGATTTGACACTTTAAGCCAACTGATTCCTTGAAGTGTCTACTAGAAGATTTATGGAGTCGTGCCCCACTTGGCAATAATTGCCCCTAGATTTGGTAACTAGTGCCAACCAAGAATCAGCTTCGGAGCATTTACTAGGAAGTGCATATATATCATATCCTATTCGTAGCTGCGAGGTTTCAGAAGCATAATTGGTCAAGATGATCTACAGAAAATTAGCATGTTGGTGGTAAAGAAATGCCCCATAATACCATAACATAAGATAAGTCCACCTTGAGTGTAAGCTTATAAGTTAAGGTTAGGAAGTAGAGTAGATTAGCATTAGCTGTAGTCTAGTACTATAGAAGATGTATGATCTATTATTAACGATTCTTATATCAATAAAAATGATTGACATCTTAGCCTGTTTACTATAATAATAATAATAATAAAATAAGTTGTTTTAGTTAAAACATTGAATTATTTTATACATATACTGTATACTTATTTTGTATTAAATTTAATACTTCATTTGATATTATATAATTGATGATTGTAAACATAGAAACGGACTTATTGATTTTATCTTTACTGCTAAAAATAAAAAATTTCAAAAAAATTTAAGTTAAAAATGATTAGTATAATAATTTAAAATTGTAGTCATAATATTCAATTAATGAAATTGACCAAAATAACAAATTTTTCATTATTAATTTATATATTTTAATGGTAACTCAATTAATTACATCAAAATCTATAAATTTTAGCGACATGTATAATCATAAACATGATTTTAGCGATTTCTTAATGTTGTGAAACCAATAGAGATGGGAACACGAAATTGAAGTGCATCACGTAACAGTAATGACTATAATGATAAAATAATGTAATAATTGATAATAGCATGTAAACGTGTCAACAAGGCATATAAATAGGATAGCATAAAGTTTAGGATGGATAGTTAATTAGAGCTAGCTAGCGTCTGTTTGCAATTAGAGTTTAGAGTTTTGGGACTGCTATTTTACTTTCTCTCACTTTATTAAATAAATGCTACAACTTTACACAATAACACACTATCTCATAAAGCATAAACCAAGATAACTTTCACTACAGTAAAGTAACCTTTAGAGAGAAGAAGCTGAGTTACCTTTGCCCCGAGTAGAGAGTGACACTTGTAATCTTGAGACGCTCCTAGGGAAAGATGGTCAAGAAGAGATTAGCAGGTGCGCGAAAGTCGGCCAAATCGTAAACAGTCTCAGAGATAAAAAGCCTTACCTTATTTAGTGCCGAAATCCAAGCGTTCGGATTATCGTCACGCGAAGAGTGAACGTTTTAGCGACAGACTCTCCGGTGACGACAACAATGTTCTTGTATCATGATCAATAAGTATATGAGCAATAGTAGATTGCGAAAAAGATAACAACAATAACAAACCACAAGAATAATAAAACCCACTTAACCTTTAAGTTGAAACCACCAATACTTGCCAAATCTATGCCCTCTTTTTGCCATCCACCCCATAAAAGCTTACCTGATCCTCTGTCCGATCGTTACGCAAGATCGGAAGATCGTTGCAACCAATAGAATGGCATACATAACATGCGGCGCAAGTGATTGATTGGCATGTAAACAAGTATAAATAAGACTGTATACTGTAATTAGAAGAAAGTTAATTAATAATAATTAATTAGTATTCGCGCTTTAATGGATAAAATAAAGTTAAGCATAAACTCTTGCCGTAGTTTCACGTGTGTTTTGTTAGTGGGACCGAAAAACTGGAGCTTGACTAGAGTAGTGGGATTTCTAGCAAAAGATTAAAGGATTCTAGAGGACAGTCGAGAGGAAGAAAGCTAACAAGTGTCGAATCATCCAAATATCATCAGGAGTTAAAGCTTTAAACAGCCTTGATTGTACGTTATGCGGAAAATTATCCTGGAATCTGTAATTCTTGTTACGTGTTTTAAAACGCTATAAACAGTTACTTTAAGTTTGTCAATATTTTTTATTATTCAATTTGTAAAGGCATATAAGTTTAGCCTTATTAATTTTATAAATGCCTTTATCGATTCTTTATTATTATTCAAATTGACATTTTAGTTTCATAAATTTCATAATGTCGTAATTATTCTTTTATATGATTAAAGAAATTAAAAAGAAATCAAAACTATAATAGTAAAAATGGTCGCATGTCTAATATTAATCGATGATCATTACCAAAAAATATATAGCATATAAAGTACCAGGGAATATTCTTCCGTTATTTGATTTCATATTATTTTATCAGGTATTCATACAACTTAACTATTAATTGGCCGGCTCAATCATAAAATCAATGAGGCTTTATCAGAAAAAGCCACAATTTAGTCGAGCAGCCATTTTGTGTCAATACAATATAACTGATTATATGTTGCATGAAAAAAAACATATTTATCGAGATTTGGCAGTAACTCTGTTGTATAATCACGATCGAGAACTAAAAGCATTCTTTGTACAAACAAAAACAATATTTTTCCACCAAGATAAAATTTTAATATATATTCTGTTAATAGCATCCTAACTTTTTTTTAATTTAATCATGAATCGAAGAATACTGATATCTTCCATCCTCTTAATGATATCATTAATATCGCTTTATATAAGCTTTTTATTTCAAACCATACCTGACCAACTATATTATTCAAACACAAATTCTAACAGAACTCTTGGCTTTGAACATATATATGTCATTAATCTTGTTCATCGACCAGACAGACGTTTTAAGATGGAGGCCATAGAGAATACACTTGGTTTAGATTTCGATTTTTTCCCAGCCATAAACAACAATGACAGTGAAACCCTTGATAAGTATAAAGCCGACCTTGCGTCTAGACACAAAGCTTGTTACGTTAGTCACTATAGAGTCTACGAATCAATTGTCCGTAATGGATACAATAGTGCCTTGATTCTAGAGGATGATACAGACTTTGAGATAAGTATCTCTTCTATAATATCAAACATTCATCGCATTTTACCCAATGATTGGGAAATGCTATATATCGGACATTGCACTTGGGAACAAGGCGGACCATTTATTGGTTATGCTTCTGGTTTCAAACTGTTTAAATCAACATCGCCAGCGTGCACCCATGCATATGCCGTTACGCTTTTTGGCGCTAAAAAGTTATTAAAAGAACTCGTTAATCTTAAATTTCCGATTGATTTAGAACTAGGCGAAAAGATTAAATCGGGAAATATCACTTCATATAGTCTTGTACCACCAGCTATTATTCAATGGAAATCTAAGGATAATCCATCTGACGTTTCTCCCGGGGCAGAAATGTTGAGCCCTCGTTTAAAGAACTCCACTTTACATTCTCTTGGGTTCCAAGAAATTTAGATCACAATATTTTTCCCGATTGTTGTTTAGCAAATTTTTTTTTTTTCGTTTTTCTTTTCAACCTAAAATAATTTATAATACGTTAATGTACACTCCCATGATAAAAATCATGGCCCGATGATCAAATTTGGTGATAATCAACGGTTAAACAGGAAATTTTTTTTTACGAATTTAAAGAATCTAATTATATATTTTTTTCGAATCGTATAATTTTTTTTTCTATAGTTTTCAAAATTTTTATTCATATTTCTAATACTTTGTAGGATTACCTTTAGAATTTCTAACAGCCTCAATACAATGAGGCATACTTAATACAAGATTACATTAAATTGAAACATCTATTTTAAACCACTCCTTTTGTAAAAATTCAAAAAATTCCAATTTATTAATTGGTAAAGGATTATATTTACAAATTCAACATTCTAATTCATTCCAGAGATGCTCAATATGATTGAGATCAGGATTTTGGATAGGCCATGGAAGACAAGAAATATTTTTTTTAATAATTCATTCTTTTATATTCTTTGCTCTATGAATTGAACAATTATTATCTTGAAATAAATAATTATTTTCAATATTAAGATTTTTTAAATATGGTAACAAGTTATTATTAAGAACATCAATATAGTCAATTGCCTTTTGTCACCTATCAATTTGTTCTAATGGATCTAAGCCACCTGCGATAAAACATTTCCATACTATTACTTCTCTTTTACTAGATTTAAATATTGGAATAAGACAGTTTATATTATATTTTTCTTTAAATAATCACAAAACATAATTATGACCATCATTTCCATATACTTCAAAACAAGACTTATCACTTTAAATAATATAATTCCATTCAGAAGTCCACTGTAATCATTCTATTGATCAATTAAAATAAATTACTTGATTTTGATTATTGACAAATGGTTTTCTTTTTTCAATTTGAGTATAATAACTCTTTTTATAAAGGTATTGTTAAAGAGTATAGATAGAAACCTTAATAGATATAGATTGTACAAATTCATTTTGTAAAACATTTAATATAATCTTATGATTTTTTTTTAGAATGTATAATAAATATCAAATATTATAATTATTCAATACTGGTGGTCTTCCAATTTGAGGTGGTTTTAACTCTCCAAAGTCTTTATAATACTTTATTATCCTTTTGACTGTTCTAAATACAAATACTAGCTTTTTGGAAATAGCAGTACACCCATATCATATTTTCAAGCACTAACTATCTGATTTCATTTATCTTCAAATAGTTCTTTATATTTTAATTTCATTGCAAAAAAGTTATAAATATAAACAAAGGAAATTTCATCATTTTTGAAAACTATTAGTTTTATCTATTCTAACAATATAAAATTTATACAGTATATTATTTAATAATTACATAAAAAATACTTTTAACTCTTTTTTTTTTCTTTACTAATTATGCTCAAAATTGATTATTGAACCATAACTTTTGTCATGGGAGTATATATTATATAAATTTAAGCAAACTTTGATTTTACTTAACATTTCTAAAAAATAAAAAACTTTAATTATAATTTCTTTATTAAATAGTTTTTAATGATTTCAAAATATTTTTTCAAATAAATTGAGTCTATCAATATATTAAATTGGGCAATAAAATTATTTATCAATATAAACTTTTTTTAAATATACATTATTTGATAAAAATAACAATAATTATAAACTAGAGATATTGGAAAACATGTTTGGTCATATGACTTAAGTAAATATTCAGAATAGCAAAAATTTTAAATTATGACTAAAAAAAAAAAGGAATTTACAATAAATGAAAAAACAATAAGATTGGTCAATAATAATATAGTTATATTATCTATCTTGTTGTTTATTTTTTTTTTATCTTTATTTTTTTTAAATTTTTTAATTAATAATTGACTTATATTAATTGTAACAAGATATATAGTATAGTATTAATAAATTATTATAGTAATTATAATTTTTTATTGAATAATATAAATAATAATATTAATTTATCTTTATTTTAAACAAATTTATATCTTAATAATTTATAAATTAAATATAATTTTATATAATTGTTTTTATAAAAAGCTTTTTTAAAATTTTTTTTCTATATACAAAGTTTTAAATTCAATATTATTATTATATTGAAATAAAAATCAATTGCAATTTTTTTAATATAGAAAAATATTATTTTTTTATTTATTCATATATTATATAATATGATATATATTTCAAAAAGAAACAATATTTCTTATATATATTTATAATAAGTTAAATACTAGCTTGCCTATAATTATTATTTAACTTATATCTAAAAAGAAATTTTAATTTAGTATAGCTATTAAATAATGCTAAACAGCTATAAATACCTACTTAAAATTAAAAAAAATTAAATCATATATCTTCAATTGTTTAATAGCAAAGAAAAAAGATGGTTATATAATAAAATTCATAATCTTATATTTTATTTAAACAATAGCTTTCAATTATTTCTACTATTAAACAAGTTATTAAATAGCTTGTGAATTTATATTCAGTATTTTCTTTATATTTGATTTTAAGAACTGAATTAAAATATATTTGAAACTTTATTTCTATTTTATAATTTTATTTAAAAACTATAATAAAGTATAACAAATACTTTACTATTTATAAGATTAAATAAAATAAAAATACAATTTAAAAACAATCTAAAACAAAAATTATACTTTTATAAAAATTCTAACAAATTAATTTGTTTTTAAAAAAATTTATATTCTAATTAATATTTTTTTTTTGAAATAGAATGGTATTATATACAGGTTTTTATTAAACAATAATCAATTTTTAGGTTACATCAAATATCATCTATTGTTATTACAACAATTAAATGCTAACCTATCTACTTTTATATTTAGCAATATGTTATTTACTCTTGAGATATGTTACATATTTTCAGGGAGATCTGTCTAGGGAATAAAAATCCTATTACTAGTTTTAAACCATCTAACCTACTGGTTTAACTATTTGTAAAAGCAGTAGGTACTGTTAATTACTTATCTAAGTTACTTATCACATCATATCTTTTCACTTATATGTTATATGATAGAGGAACCACAACATAAGATATATGTTTTCTAATGAATGCTCTGATTTTTAATTGCTGGTTAGCTTTAAGCTATCAAATTAGGGGCTCTTATGATCAAATGGTGCATAATTTCTTAAGGATTATATGAATCAAGTCTAATCCAGTTTTCTTGTTTTTTAATCTTCTAGTAAACATTCTAGTTTTAGAATTGATTGGCTTAGGCTATTAAATCTAGAGGCATAAATGTCAAGCAGGACACAACTTCTACATACCTAAACTATCCAGGAAGAACCATGTTGTATAAGATGTTAGTGTTAATTTAATGCTTTTCTTCAAAGCTTCTTTATTTAACAGTCAACAGAAAAGGTAATAGCAGATTAGAATTGGTTGAAATGGAGTACAATCCAATCAGTACTTTCAAATATATAGATGGTTCTATAAACTTCTTCAGTAGATAATTATCATAGCATCATTCAGATGATTATCATGCCATTATATCTTAAAAGGAAGACACAATCTTAATGTCCATTGAATCAGTATATAAAATGGTTTCTTATGAGAAACAGTATATAACAGAATATAGTATCAGATACTATATTAATACTATTCAATCACCTTCACATGTGATTGAACTGGTATCTTGTGATTTAATCTATAAAGCACTAACCATTATACTATAGATCTACAGATCTATATTCTAATTAATGTTTCTATTTTTGTAATTAAATTTAAATTTAAATTTTTATTTTTTTATTATTTTTTTTATAGTAGAATGGTATTAGATATAGAATTTTATTGAATAATATTCAATTTCTTTATATTCATCAAATATTATTTATTGTTATTACAATAGCTAAATGCTTACTATTTACTTTTATTATCCCAGCAATACTAATAACACTCTTAAAGTGAATTCATATTTTTGGGGAGGACCTATCTAGGGATAAAAATCCTACCACTAGTTTTAAACTATCTAATCTATTAGTTCAACTATTTATGAGAGTAGTAATAACCATACATGTGTTCGTATTACCATAAAAGGAAATTTGATCGACAATACGATTCCGAATTAAATACGAATTCCAATTAATTACTATATGTTACTTAGTAATTCTACCATAATACGGTTTTTGAAAAATGGTTGAATTCAATTCCACCACATGTATAGTAATAACTACTAACTACTTACCTAAATTACTTATCATATTATATTTTTTGTTTACATGTCAAGTGGCAAAGAGGCCACAATATGATACATATACTCTCTAGTAAATACTTTAGTTTTGATCTGCTAGTTGACACTTAACTATTAAATCTATAGGCTCTTATAATCAAGTGAAACATAACTTCTTAAAGGACTATATAGAACAATCTAAACCAGTCTTTCTAGTTTCTTAATTTCCTAGTAGACACTTCAGTTATGGAACTGATTAGTGTAGGCTGTCAAATCTAGAAGTATAAATGTCAAGCAGGATACAACTCCTATATGTATAAACTATTTGGGAAGAACCATATTACATAGGATGTTAATATCGGTTCAGTATTCTCTTTTAAAGCTTTCTTATTTAACAGTCAACAGCAAAAAAAATTATCGAGTGGATTTAATAAGATGGAATATAGTCCAATCTGTATATCCAAATGATTAGTTGTTTTTGAAAGTTGATAAAGATTAATTAAAATGGAGTATAGTCTAGTTTGTATATTCAAATATAAGAGTTCATAATTGAATTTTTATAAAAATTAATTTTAATTATTAATTATATTATATATTAATAATTTTATTTCTAATTATTATAATTTTATTTTTTTCAATTTAAATAAAATGTACAGCTAATTAAAAATAACAATTATATTATAAAGTACCTTTTATTTAATTACATAAAAATTGAATATTTTTTGTATTTCTTCTATTAATTTAATAAAAATAATTATATATTTTTATCAG